CAGGCGGGCGAGGGAAAGTTGCGTGGACGCTTCCAAGTTGGAACACTCAGCAAGCTAAAAGGTAGAAAATGAAGAGGTAGGAACTACCGTTGGCACCACCATAATTAGGTAACAACCACATTTAAAGAACCGTTTAAATCTAAAACTGGTGAATATAGAAACCTTTTTAGGTTGAGCTCATCCCATAAAAACTGTCACATTTTAAATAGATACAGACATATCTAAATCAGTGTGATCCACATGCAGTATAGAACACACGAAGTTATAAAGCTATCCAGAGTGGGTAGTAATTAAATAGTAGAAAAATGAACACTGAAGAGATTTAAATAACAAATCTCTTCTTCATGCACTTTCATTCGAAACGAAGGTCCCCCTAGCGAGATTTAAACAAATTACGAAAGCTGATAGCTGTATTGCCAACAAAGCGCCCTTGCGCGAGGCTGATAGACTAGGTGACAAGAGGTGAACCCTCATTTCAAGCTGACCAATAAAGGTTTTCGACTGGCTTTCGGCCAATTGGAGTATTGCTTCGTTAGCCAATCAGAAAGTAGATAATTAATCCAGATTTAAGGACATAGGAATTCTATATAAACTAAGAACGACAGAACAAAATCGCGTTTATCTAGTTCTATAAGAAATGTCTGGTCGCGGTAAAGGTGGCAAGTCTCGCTCCAAGGCCAAGAGCAGGTCTGCTCGTGCCGGTCTACAGTTCCCTGTTGGCAGGGTGCACAGGCTTCTCCGTAAAGGTAATTATGCCGAGCGTGTTGGCGCCGGGGCTCCTGTCTATCTCGCTGCCGTCCTCGAGTATCTCGCTGCCGAGGTCCTCGAGTTGGCCGGCAACGCTGCCCGAGACAACAAGAAGACCCGTATCATACCACGCCACCTCCAACTTGCTATCCGCAACGACGAGGAGCTAAACAAACTGCTCGGTGGTGTGACCATTGCCCAAGGCGGTGTCCTTCCCAACATCCAAGCAGTGCTCCTCCCTAAGAAGACTGAGAAGGGCGGCAAGTAGTTTTTTGATCTCCGAGCTAGAGAACGTACACCGGCCCTATTTAGGGCCATATACATGGTTGTCCTGTTTAGCGTGATTTACGCTTCTCACCTTTATGTTTTCTAGTGCAACCATAACGTCATCCAAGTCAGCGCCATTCATCTGTTCGATCCGTCGCCCCGGCTCCGCGATTATTCTCTCCGTCGCTCTGATCCCTGCCGCCCGCAGTTCGGGATCTTCACTCGTTAATCCGACCAACGCTAGGCGCATGACCTGTAGGGAAGGAAAGATGATCAGGCTCCAATTTGGCAAACATCAATGGGTATAGAGTCACTAACCTCGTCCATCTCTTCGTCAGGTAGGGCTGGCCCAAGCGACGTTGTCAGACTGAGATATGCCTCGAGGAATGCACCTGGAAGGGAAAGATAATTTAGGGCTCGATCTCCGAATGACTGTCCCAATGCCGTAGCACCCGTCATTTAATCAGAGGCTCTCAGTCGCGGAGGGCTCCATCAACCCATGGGGATTGATGACAATTTAGGAGCGGCATAAAGGGATCAACCCTGACTGGTCCAGCAACTAACATGCTTATTTCCGGTGTCGCAGTGCTAGCTTGGTGTATTATCTGGGTCGCCAATATTCGCGGTCTCCCGTAGCAGCGCTAGACTGCCTTGGGGTGTAACAGTTGACTCGGGTCAACCTAGGTACTGACTTTATCATCAAATGCTCGGCCTAAGGATAGCTGGGACAGGCGGCGACTGGCGTCGCAAGTGCAATCAGTGCGGTATAAAAGGGTTTTTTGGTGGTCTGACCCGCATTAGTGCGGGAACAACAATCAGGGGTCGGATTACTCCACGGCTTGCCCACCTTTGAGAACTGAGCTTGCGGACATCGACTCATGACTTTGGCCGACGCCGAGGTCGCGAATCCTGTCCTCAGCTACTGGGTGGCGTTCCAAAAGTTCCTTGACCAAGAGCAGGTGACACTTCTGAGCGTAGACCGGGGTAACGCTTGCATGGAAATCTTCAGTAAGGGGGTCGGTGTCGGATGGTAGCGGTGAGGAGACAAAACGGTTTGTCATCAATGGCTGCATCAAGAGGTTTGGCGAGGGTCTGAGAACTTCCGGAACCGACGTAGGTCGAGGTAGCCCGAGAAGACGTTGAGGAGCGATTATTCTAGCCAGATTAAGTGGAGGCAGAAAGCCAGCTAAAGCACAAAAAAATCAGGTTTTAAATATAAATGGATTGCCACCTTGTTCTTGCAACTCGGTCGTATTGGTAGAAACTCACCTAGTCCGGAGTCCATTATATGCACAATAATTTCAGGTCGGACCGTCAACGTGTTACATTCTCAGGCATCGACAATGAGTCTTGCCATCCTTAGCGCCATACCACAACTGATCAAAGAGAAAAGTTAATCCAATCCTTTGATTTGCACTAAACATTTGTGTTATCTCTCCTGTCCTGGGGTGTTCACCTTTCCTATATCCTCGTATCACGCCTTCACTCGTCATTTTTTCCTTGCTTATTTAAATCTAGTGTGGTTTGCACTCTTAAGCGGCTTTCATAAGAACCCTCCACACTCCGTGCCGGGAATGTTGAGCAGAGTCTCCCTCTTGACCCGTAGGATCCGTCTGCTATCTCCCTAGTTCAAGTATTTCACTCGACCACTGTCACCATTTCTGTGCTACTTTAGGCGTTACTTCCCATATCCTGCGTATGGGTGACTAATTCGAGCCTAAAGCCTCTGCAGATCTTACAGTCAAGCCTTTGCTACATGGACCACGTCTATGGTAAAACGGCCTACTGTCAGTAAATTAGCTCTAGTCTCCACTGCGTCTATCCTGCTTCTATCCCTAATACTGAGTCTGTGACTTATTATGCCCTCTTATGTGCCAACCCACAAACCTTGCGATTCAAAATTGAACCTAATCAAAGCAATCAGTACCACAACATTTGTGAGGATGGCTAATAACGACTCGAGTAGCCCAGATGAGGTGGCAGGGGAGATAGCAGACGGATCATACGGGGCAAGAGGGAGACTGGAGTAAGGATTGCGTACAATGGTGAAGGGGGTTGAGAACAGCAGCGTGGAGTGCGGAGGGTTCTAATGAAAGCCGCATAAAAGGGCATACACCAGCTTTAAATAAGCAAGGAAAATATGGTGATTGTGAAGGCGTGATACGAGGATAAAGGATATAGGATAGGGGAATAGTCCAGGATAAAAGGAGAGATATCACAACTGTTTAGCACATTCTGTCAAAAGATCAGCTGAATTTGCGTATTTGAAGAGTTGTAGTATGGTGCAAAGAGTGACAGGAATCATTGACGATGCTGGCGAAACGTCTGGGAATGTACCACGTCCACTGTCCGACTGGAAATTATTATGCATACAGTGGACTCCGGACTAGGTGCGTTCCTCTAAGTCTTCCTGCCAATATGACTAAGTTGTAAAAACAAGATCAAACAACTTATATGCAATGAAAGGAGACTGCGACCACACAAAAGGCCACACCATCTTCATCTTCACATCTTCAAGTAAAATATAGTTTTGCATTCAAAACTAATCTAGTGCCTACGAGCTGTGGACTATTTAAGTCAATTGCAAACAGGAAGTGTATCAAGCCATCCGAAATTCATTTATGCAGACGAGCTGAGTTTCAATTAGATCGCGATCCTCTGAACATGAATCGTCGCAACTTGGTCTTGTCAGGGCGACTTAGTAGAACGCACCTAATCCGAAGTAGTCTGCCATAGTAGTTGTCATAATTCCAAGCATCAGATAGTAGACTTGGTACATTCTCAAGCGTTTCGCCGGCATCGTAGTCGGCAGCATCAGAGAGCTCTGCCATTCAGCGTACTAAGTAACGAACTCGTCAAAAGAGACAAGTGAAGTCAATCCTTCGACAAACGTTCTGCCAAAAACGCTTATACTATCACTACTCTTTCTGTCCTGTCCTATCTATCTACTCTTTAACCTCATATCCCACTGCCGCCCTATCACTATTTCTCACTTGCTTACATTCCACTCGTCAAAATGTGCGCCCTTTTGTGGCAAATATAGTGTGGCCTCATCACACTTTCTATTCACCCTGACCCCATCTCTTTCCATCAGCTGATCCGACTTGGGCCTCCAATCATATCTGCTATTCACCCCAGACCCGTTTCTTTCGATCAGTTGATGTGACTCGGGCCTCTAATCCGGGTCTCCTCAAATTTGAGGGCCTCGCAGTCATGGAGCTGGGCAGACGGATAAGCAAACCGTCACATAAATTCGGCGTTGTGGCCAAAATGCACTAGAAATCCACTTGAGATGTTGCATCCGACCATAGATAGGCATTCACAATTTTCTCAGGTAACATGGGTTTAATCAGGGAGACGACTCGTGAAGGGAATGCCTGATATCTGCAAGCATG